GAGCGAGGATGAGAAAATAAAAGATCCCGAGAGCAAAATCGACGCTCTGATGTCTGCTCGAGAAGTGAAAAGGACCGGAATTCCATGTTCCTATCCTAGAGAATGGGATTTAATAGCATACCCGGCGAAGTTCAACCTGATTAACTTCACGCCGTTTGATGGGAAGGGTTCGCCCACTCAACATATGATCTATTTTAAGTCCCACTTGGGTATGATCTCCGACAATAAAGCCTTGATGGTTCGATCATTCGTTGGCACCCTTCGCGGGCCCGCCTTCGATTGGTACCGCCGTCTCAAGTCTGGGAGCATCAACAGCTGGGACGACCTAATGAACCTGTTCCTCGCTCACTTCTTTGACGATGATGCTGAGGTGTCAATCAGGACACTCTTCGATGAGAAACAAGAAGACGACGAGACGGTTGACGACTTCGTCAAGCGCTTCCAGAATAAGGCGATGAACTGCCGAGATCCGATCACAAAGGACTTCATCCTCCAAACCTATCACAACACCTCTCTTTGGACGTGTTGGAAGTCATGGGAGTAGCACCGTCCAATACCTGGAAAGAGTTAAAGGTGCACGAAGAACGAACCGAACGCTTCCTTAGAAGGAAGCAAGCCGAGAGAAGCCAACCGATGGCTAACCCTCCAAATTTAAGCTTCGTCTCCCGTGGTAAAGGGAAAGCCCCTACAACTGCTGTTGATGCTAATCAGACGTCACAACAGCAATCCCGGAGATAGCAAAAGACTTCAGGTCCGAAACTCCAAAAAGAGTACTCTTTGAAGGACGAAGACGTTCCAGCTATTTTCGAATCCCTCCTTAAAAATAACAAGATCAAGCTACTACCTATCGCAAATCAGAAGGAAGCTTATAATACTTCAGATCCAAAATACTGTGCGTACCATAGGAGGGTCCTTCATCCCACAAGGATTACTTTGCTCTGAAGAATAGCATTCAAACCTTGGTTGAAGTCGGCGTCATAACGCTGGGATAAGCCAAATGAGAGCGGCAACACTCCGAAGAGTATACGAGTATAAACTGCTTCTCAATACTCCAATAGGTATATGAGTATAAACTGTTTCCTTTCTTTCATGGGAAGTTCCTAGAGAATGTCATGCCTGGTACTCTTAAGGAAAACCCGGTCATCCAACTAAGTACAATATTAGACCCAGTTTCGCGAAGGAAGCTGGGGGTGGATGATTTATGTAATGGGAAGTTCCCGGAAGAATAATACATTTAATTTTCTTAGGGATAACCCGATCATTACGAACAGAATGATAAACACTAAACTCCCACTATGATTTGTACTCCCACTCTCACTGCTTACCTGGTCAAACCTTCCTACAGTTAGGACCACAATCAAAATCCCCTCTCGATTCCTTCAATGAACGAGAGGTCCACAAATTGAGTGATCAAACCTATAAAAGTTAGGGTCATCTCACACTCCCACTCACACTTGGTCAAACCTTCCTACAGTTAGGACCACAGTCAAAACCCTCTCTCGATTCTTTCAATGAACGAGAGGTCCACTTTCAAATCGAGTGATCAAACCTTCCTACAGTTAGGATCACCTTAAACTCCTGCTTGTTCAAACCTTCCTACAGTAAGGACCAAAATCACAATTCACTCTCGATAAATGAGAAATACATCTTTAGTTCGGTAATCAAACCTTCCGACAGTTAGGGTTATCCGAATCTTTTTGATTCTCGGAGTGGAGATCCCACTCTTAGTTTCACCTTTCCGGATTCTTGAAGTGGAAATCCCACTTTAAATTTCCTTTTACAATTGGAGATAGAATATAAAATTCTTCCTCTTCAGCTTTAGGAGATAGAATATAAAATTCTTCATCTCCCGCATCGGGTTCGTCTTTGCCCCAAGAGAAGACACCACTTTTTTAACTCCCAAAATCCGTGCCTCACACACACGGGGAATTTTATCCCGAATCCTGAGCAGGGATAAGTAAATGCCTAACACGTGTTGCCGGTTAGTTCTTAATCGTAAAAAGAATAAAAGCCCACATATTCGACATTGTGGTAGGTTGTTATTCATAATGCTAAAATCTGTGCTTCACACGCACGAGGAATTTTATCCCGAAGCCTAAGTAGGGATAAGTCAATGCTTAACCCGCGGTGCTGGGTGGTTCGTTCCCGTAAAAACGACCGAGTCTACATATTCAGTATCGTAGCAACAAAAATCCATGTCTTTTATGCATGGGGAATCTTATCCTGAATCCTGAGCAGGGATAAGTCAATACCTAACACGCGTTGCCGGTTAGTTCTTAACCGTAAAATGAATAAAAGCCCACATATTCAACATTATGGCAGGTTGTTATTCATAACGCCAAAATCTGTGCTTCACACGCACGGGGAATTTTATCCCGAAGCTTAAGTAGGGATAAGTCAACGCCTAACACGCGTTGCCGATTTAGTCTTTCACCGATTGAAAAAGACACCAGAATCCAGTCTGGGGCATTTTATCCTGAAGCCTAAGTAGGGATAAGTCAGCGCTTAACCCGCGCTGCTGGGTGGTTCGTTCCCGTGAAAACAACCGAGTCTACATATTCAGCATCGTAGCAATAAAAATCCATGCATTTTTATACATGGGGAATTTTATCCCGAAGCCTGAGTAGGGGTAAGTCAGCGCCTAACACGCATTGTCGGTTTAGTCTTTTACCGATTGAAGAAGACACCAGAATCCAAGTCTGCGAACTTTTATCCCAAAACCTACGTAGGGATAAGTCAGCGCCTAACACGCGTTGCCGGGTAGTCTATTCCCGTAAGTAAGACGAAGTCTACATATTCAATATCGTAGCACTAAGAGAGTTAGCTCTCTTAGCATAACGTCACATGTGAAACAGACTTAAACAATCCGCATGCAAGCCCGATTCAAACGGTAATCGGTAAAGGCACGTCAAACCCGTTGAAGGCTGAGGGTTTGCCAAAAACCCTAAAGTCTACGCCTAACACGCGTCGCTGTTTAGTCTTTTTACGTGAGAAAGACGAAGTCTACGTATTCAATATCGTAGCACTAAAAGAGTTAACTCTTTTAGCATAATGTTACGTGCAGAACGGATTTAAACAATCTGTATGCTAGCCCGACTCAAACGGTAGTTGGTAAAGGCTCATCAAACCCATTGATGGCTGAGGATTTACCAAAAATCCTATAAATATGAGAGTAATTGACGCACCAGCCCTATTAGTTGGTCTTGTGACTTTAGCATCCAACAACTTCAGGATAAGATCCACACATGCAGATGGATCAACTTTAATAGTTGGTCCTACAGCCCAACATTTAGGACCGCCACGCTCCAATACCTTAAGAGCTTAAACTGTGTAGACTCCAGCAAATGTACGAGTATAAAATATGTTAACACTGGTCAACGCATTACTGTTGGACCCTAGAAGGGGGGGGGGGGGGATTAGGTCAAGAGGCTCTAATATGCAATTTAAAACTCAGCACAAGCAAACCACAAAACAGAAGTGCAATCAAATAGAAAGAGATAGAGTTAGGAATCGTTATCCTTGACGCGCGATGTGTTAACGAGGTTCGGCCCGCTGACCTACGCCCCCGCTCCCCACTCTCGAGGAGAAATCCACTAACACATCCGGTTTGGAAGCCGGAACTTCGTCTACACAGCGATCCCACAAGATCTCTCTCTCGCTACACAGTTTGATCTCACAGATCACACTCCCTCACAGTAGATCTCCACAGATCTCAACCACACAGCAGCAGAAGAAAAAAACAAGCAAGAACCTCTCTTTACACAAGCCCCTATAGCAAAGAGAAGAGTACTGAAGCTGGGAAGTGAAACACACTTGAAACAGAGAGAAAAACAGAGTTTTGAAAATTTTCTCAGGAAACAGAAAAAGCTCTCTGGTTTTCAAACGTTAGGGCTTAGAGGAAGAAGAAGAGGTCTGGGGATTTTATAGGAGAGTTTAAATCATTTTAAAATAAAAAACAAATCTACCCAAATGAGATAATAATCTCTTCTTCAGACCCTCATCACAGACTGTGCCAATCACTAACAAGTGAAAGCACAGGGTTCGAGGCAAACGGCCGTTTTAAAAAAAATTGTGGCTGAACAGAGGCAAAAATCGGTTGACCGAAGAAAATATCGGTCGACCGAAAAATACCTTCGGTCGACCGACCGAAAAAATCGGTCGACCGCCAGCAGCTAAGGAGTTTTGACAAAACATCCAGAGACTCATCGGTCGACCGGCACGGTCGACCGATTAAGGGTTGAGAAATTCGGTCGACCGTATCGATCGACCGACAACACTCTGGAGACATAGTGAAGAAAGGTCATCGGATCGGTCGACCGGACCGGTCGACCGATTTCTGACATATTCTGAAATCAGGTTATTTGACCAAGTTGAAATATTTCCAAAATATTCATTTGACCTCTGAAAATTCTGAAACTTTGTAAAATGTTTTTAATACTAAAAACAAACTGCTTGGAAAAAGAATTTTGCAGATAGGTACTCAAACTTGTGAAAAATAGTATTTTGTGAAAAACGCTTAAAAGCACAAGTTTAAAAACGTGTGTGTGATTCCCAATAGCTTCAAGTAAACTCAGTAACTCTTTGCCTACATTCTAGCACTAGAGAGAAAAACAAAAGAAAGCTAATATCCTCATATAGAGAGCAATATACTTGAGCTTTGATATAGCTTGAATCGGATGAAGCTTTTAATCGAATTTGACGTTCTTGAAATAACGTTGCTTCATCTCTTGGCCTCCTCCTCCTTTGGATATCTTCGTTGTAGCATATATTCCATCCATCCTCCATTAATGGCACTAACGAGCTTGACAAATGATTTTACTACATTTACACTCAATAAGCCATTAGTACCGATAATGGTGGTTGTAAGAACATCATCAAAACATAAGGGCTAACACAGTAAATTCTAATTGAACTATGCAAGAGAGAACTTTAGGACTTAGGGATTGACTTGTTTTATTCTTTAGTCTAGATCTTTTTTACATGATTTATTATTTTATCATTTAATTATTAGATAATTTTGATTATCCGTTTCAGGTATGGAACTATGCGAGATAACGTCATCAACCTCCAAGTATGTTACTCTTCTCCTCTATTTTATTCTAATCAAAGCCATAGTTGGCTTTTAAATTTCTGACCTGTAGGTTGTTCTGGGAAATGGAGATGTTATCAAGACAGGTTCTCGTGCCCGGAAGAGTGCTGCAGGGTAACCCGCATCCTCCCTTGAATCTTACATTTGCAACTATTATATCTGTTGAGGTAGATTGTAGTCCAGTTTAGAAAAAGTGGAGTGCTGGAATTAAGCTATCCAAAGCTAAGTTCAGATTATTGATTTAGTTGTGACCTTTGACTTTATGTTTATCACGGACCTTGCAGCAGAGCACTAATATCACGGACCCTGACGCAGAGCATTAATACTTCTTGGTTCCTTAGAGATGGTCATTTTAGTTTAACTGTCTGTCTTATATTTCATTATTAAGATTGGATTTTGATGCCTTACTGTAATTTGGTAAAACAGAGTGTTGAATGCAAGGACAATGTCTCCTTTAGGAACTCGGTATATTTCTGGAGAAGTCAGGTTGGAGTTATGTTCCGCTATTGGCACATGAGCTAAGTTTTTGGGATTTTATCTTTCTGGTACCCTTTACAGGGCTAATAATGCCTAAAAAAAAAGAATTTCTGCTTATCATGGCTGAGGAGTGATATGGATTCTAGGGAGTCCTAAGGTCGAAAAGGACATATGGGGAATGCAAATCTAGCTGGAATCATATTCTTCCTTTTGATATTCATATGTGAATGTGTTCACTGAAGGGGGGAAAAAGGCTCTGCCATGATTGGGACACTGTTAGTATTGATCTTCACTACCATTTCATCATTGTTTTTGTTTAAGTAGTTTCTTTGTCGGCTTAGTTCCTCAGATCTTATTTAAGATATGAAAGGTTACTCACTGGGTTTTTCTGCTTCAAAGCTTTGGTTTTAAAGCAAGGTATACCTTCAGAATGGAAATCCACCGATTTCATTGTGTGGCCACAGTCAGAGTCTAGGATGAACCATACTTCCTCGGGTTGGTTTTTTATCTGGTTACTTTTCCTTCAATAATTAACATTATTTTCTCAAGAAGATGGAGAGAGTGAACAACGCTGCCACTTGAAGCATCTCATGATTTGTAATTCAGTTCATATGTATCGGTCAGGAAGATTAGCAACATCCTCCGGCATCCTTAATATTTACATTTTAAAAATTGCTATTGTGACTTTGGATTTTCATAGTAAATATCTTTATCGAAAATGAGCTTTAATGTAAAGCCTGCATATTTGAAGAAGTTATTGAAGGCTTAACAAAAAATTTAGGAAACATGTGTGTTAACCACAAAAAACACTAGTTTTCAATGTTCAACAAGAGCAAAAATCAATAGATGAATGGTTGTTTTGGAGAAATAGTGACTCACAGTTTTCAATGTTCAACAAGAGCAAAAATCAATAGATGAATGGTTGTTTTGGAGAAATAGTGACTCACAGTCATATCACATGCTTATTAGAGCAAAAATCAATAGATGAATGGTTGTTTTGGAGAAATAGTGACTCACAGTCATATCACATGCTTATTATTGGAATGACGAGGGCTCATTTTTTATTTTCTTGGACTGTTTTGTTACTTATCGTAACTCTGTGAAAGTGAAGATACTGGACATGTAAAGAAAGGACATGGTGATCAATTGATCATTAGCTATTGTAAGGTATGTATTGAATTATTAATGAAGATTGATTATACTTGCATGTCATATATGCAAAATCAGACTCCGTTCTGCCAGCCCTCTTATAATGATGGAGGCGTGCTTTGAAGGAAGATAACAGTTCATAAGGTTGGAACTGTATGAAAGGACATCTGTATTTGCTTACCTAAGACATGGACTTTTGTGATCCTTAGGACTGGGTTCCTCCTGTTAGAGACCTAAGTATTAACAATGTGGCAATGAAAGCACGAGAACACTTTCCTAGTGAGGCAGCCACAAACCCACCATGCATAATCTACAATAAACCATCTAAACAAGAGACACGACATGTAGATCAATGACTCAATGTAACTATTTCTAGACTCATGGGTTGGAGATTAGTATGGATACTGGTTTCTAATGACATCTATCCAATTATACTATATGGCCCACTTTGACAGATCTTGATGTTTCCTAGGAACAATTTTTGTAGCAACAGAATTAGCATCCTCATAATGTCCTAAAGTGATCATATGTATACAATTTAGCCATATGTTTTATGCACTTTGCTTCTGAATAACTGGTACATAAACATTTTTTATTTTAAAATTAGATATCATACCTGGCATCCAAATGTTTTATGAATAGAGTAGTAGTGAATTTGGGTGGGGACTGTAAACTCTAGGAGACGTGATTGTTTTGGAACAAAAAGTTCACTAGGAATACTTATAAACAAAAGAAGGAACTAAGTTTACTAGGGGAAAAAAACAGGTTAGAAACATCCAACCTGTTGAGAGTCCAGAAAACTCAAAAAACAAAATGACATAGGAAAATAAATTTCTGGACATGGTTACCTTGCTTATATCGTTCTTGATTTCTCTTCATACTAAGCTTTTATATTTGAAAATTTGTTCTCTATCTTAGCCTTTTAAAACTAAACTACGTCTTTATCTACCTGAATCAGCACATAAAGTTCACCCATGGTCTCCAACCACACCTAATTATTTTATTACTCGTAATGCTTACTTCCTTGCAAACATTCCACATAAATCTAACAACATGCGTCTACTGTGGTGCAATTACATATTCCAACCAATGCATGAAGTGCATCCTTGTTTTTCATGTCTCTCTCTCTCTCTCTCTCTCTCTATATATATATATATATATATATATATATATATATATAAGAGAGAGAGAGAGAGAGAGAGAGAGAGGTTGGGGGGATGAATGAAATATATAGATGAGGAAAGGGGTTGGTTTATCTGATTCATTTAGTTTCTTTCTTCCAGTTATTTAACTTTCTAAATTTGGTTCAATACAAAGACGATTAAGTCATTGTGTATGTTTCATTTTAGATATGATTTAACGCGGTTGACGATTGGAAGTGAAGGAACATTGGGTATAATAACAGAAGTGACTCTACGTCTTCAAAAACTACCTCAGCATTCAGTGGTATCTTCTTAATAAATCTTTTTGATATTGTTGGATGTCTTTTCAAATCAATTGTTAGATGCTTCTTAATTTTTTGGTATTGGCTGAATACTTCTGCAGTGTTTCATGCTTACTGTCTTTGCACATCTGTTTTAGACATTCTGTCTTTTTAAACATTCATTGTTAAGTCATGTTGTTGATCTTGTGATTTCAATTATTTATTTGTTTTATTTATTCTAGACGTGGAAGATACTTTCCAAATCATTTAATTTTTTTATTCCATTTTAAAGTTTGCTCGGGTCTATTATTTTTCCTCGTCTATTTTTGTCAGATATGACAAAGATACATGTATTGTATTCTTTTTGTGCCACCTTCTGCCTATTTTATTATGTTTAGAAGATTATTCTTTTATCTGAATAAACATTATGGTTCAAAGCTCAAACTTCTCATGGTTCATATCAATAACTCACAAAAAGAAAGGAAGATAATGGATAGTGCATGCCATTAAATAGGCTATTACTATTGGTGATTGGAAATTTCTTATTTCACAGTATCCTACTGAAGGAACTATATCCTACTGGTTTTGAATCTCTTTCTTACCTTGTTCTCAGAGATCTAATTGTCAGTTCATCTTATTAAGTGAATGCTTTGCAGGTCGCCATGTGCCATTTTAAAACAATTAAGGATGCTGCAGATGTTGCTATTGCAACAATGCTATCTGGTATCCAGGCAAGGTCACCATGTAACAATCTGATTTCAATGCATCCTGCAATATTTTTGTCATCCTTAGTTGATTTTGATTTTTCTGCTTTTTCATACTTTCCATTTTATAACTGGTATTTGTTATCTTATTTTGCATTCATTGAATTGACTTCCACGTGTGTGAGAGAATGAAAATTATAACTTGGTTTTGAAACTGGAGCCTCGCATAACCCAAGCCCACTCGGTTACCACTGGAGCATACCTTATTAGTGGCTAATTGTTATATTATAAACCAAGATAAAACTCTCATTGACAGAAAATTATTAGGATCCAACTGTTGTAATGAATCTGTTCAGATGTGTACACTGAATATTACCATTCTAAGTATTCAATTATATGGATTATATATTATTTTCCAAATAGATTCTTTTTGTTGTCTTTGCAAAATATTTCTATAACGCAGAATTACTGAATTGTTGTCAATTTGCCAAAAGTAACTTATGCTGGAAAAAGGCAGGTTCTTTGACTCAGTCTAATGATGGTTCCATAATGGAATGCATCTGCAGTATATCCGTTGTGACATGCTTGTTTGCTTGTATGAATTTACCTCATTTGGAATCAAAACTGAGAACAAATTAGTTTGTACCAAGCGGCCTGTGCGAGGATCTTCCGTAGGCCAAGAGAAGCAGTTAAATTGGATTTTTATCTTTGGTCACAGTTGCAGTTGGTATTGGATAGATGAATGGTTTCATGATATTGAAGATCAATTTCCTTCTAGTTGTCCTGAGGGAATACAAGTAAAAACACCTGCAAATGATGAATAAGGTTTAATATTTTGATCTTTCTATTTAGAATGATTGCTAGGAAATGATAATATAGGTTAGTAGAAAAAAAGATTCAGTCAGCTTTTGCCCAATAATCGTGATAAAAACTTTTCTTATTGTTGCTGTAATGTGAAATCATGTCACGGTATGATAATGGCATAGCTCAAAAATTAAGTACACAAAAATTTACCTACTTTCTGTTATTATAGAGTGAAGAAATCCTAACATGTTTATGTCTGCTTAGGAACCTGAAGGCTGTTTATTTACATCTCGTCATTTAAGCACTGCAAAGGCTTATATAGGTTGGTGTGATGGTTCTACCTCACTTTATACATATTGGTGTCACAGCCATTGTTTACTATCTATAGGCGGAAAGGATGATGAGAAATTCAATAAAGTCAATGGAAGTCCCATAAGTGAAACTGCTTGAGGTTTCTCTACAACGCTACAATCAGTCTAGTAAAGCATTACCAATTTATTTGTTTCTTCTACCCTTGTTCGTGCTTTCTAGATATGTACATATGGTTGTATAGAGCATTCAGAACATGTTCCTCAAGTATAATCTAATATATTTACATTTGCATGGTTGTATCACTTCGTGTAATGAATGTGTTGGTTCTGTTTTGATCTAGCCATTTAGCCTTAGCCTTTTTGAATGAACCTAGACTTCCCAACCCCCCAATGGAACCAGGATTATCGACTTATCATGTTTATGTCTAGATGCTGTTTTGATCACCCTAATTAAGGCACACCAGTTACATACTTGATGTGGTTTGTACCCATTTATTTCGAAATACAAACTGTTCCCTTATTCTTTTATCTATCTGTAAATAATTAACGCAGAATCAAACAAAAGGCATCAGGTTCACACAAATGTTGTTGGTTATGCTTATACAAATTAGCAAACTAAACATTTCAAGGTCACAGTGATGCAATAAATTGTAACATCAACCTCAAAGGATTGCCCTAGAACAGGAATTGTGTAAGGATGGAAGACTCTTGAACCAGGCAATTGCACACAGACCAACCTTTGCTGGCACAATTAATCATTAGTTTATTTTAGCTTTATAGAAGACATAAAGAAATGTGATGCTGACCCTCAAGATTGATGTAATAGATACAGGGAAATAATCACTGCTATTTGGTTGTAAAAAAAATTGAATAGATGACCTCATTGAGTTTTAGTAATTGTTATATTTGGCTTTCTATATGGTTTATTGCACTATCTGCTGTCTGAAGTAGAAAGTGCAACCTGAGGACTTTGCCTGCTGATGTCTTGCAATTATTATGTGGATTGCTACTTCATTCACTTAAATTCTGATAATTAATTAGGTGTCAAGAATGGAACTCCTGGACGAGGTTCAAGTAAGGGCAATCAATATAGCAAATGAGAAACATTTACCTGAAACTCCAACATTGATGTTTGAATTTATAGGCACAGGTAAAGTAAAAGTATCCTGGTTATGTTTCCTTGACTCTTTTAAGAAGCTGATAGTATGATGGTGACATAGAATCAGTACTGATGGCGTTGAATCATTTATATTTACATGTTTATTTTCTTCTATGGAGTGGTTATCCTTTAGCAATCGTGCTAGTAAAAAATCTTATAGTTAGTAGACAGTAGTAATGTTGGTCATAGAGCAGCTAAAAAATCATTTATCTCATCAACTTGGTTGTTAAAAGTTTATCATATTGTTCAATTGTGCTAGTCAATCATCTTGATGCAGTGTTGTGTTCGTGTTGCTGTTTGAGCATGTCGTTGAAGATGATTTGCTTAAATATTTAGAGCATTTTCCAAGCCATATGTAACTTCTGTCGTATACAATCTCTTGTGGATATGATATCGTAGCTTTACTATTTATACTATTATTTGCAATCAATCCTGCTAAATATATACTTATGGGGTTTCTAACCTGTCACTCTTTAAGTTTTCTTTTTGTATGTTGTGTTATTCATCAAAAGACTAATTTTTCTTGAAATCTATCTTGTTGCTTGAGCAATACCAATTCACAGATCTAAGTATTTTCTTTGTACATAGCGACTCATCTTCATAATATAAATTGTGTAACAGAGACTTGCTTCTCTCCTTTGGCATTTTTAAAAATAAAATTTGTTGATTAATCTGTGTAATATGTGCTGTAATTGTTGATTAATCTACATTTTTAAAAATAAAAATTTGTTGATTAATCTCGTAATATGTGCTGTAATTTTTAAGAATAAAATTTGTATTACATAAAATTTGTTGATTAATCTGTGTAATATGTTGATTAATCTGCGTAATATGTGCATAATTTGTTGATTAATCTGCATAATATGTGCTGTTTTTTTTGCATTTTTAAAAATAAAATTTGTTGATTAAGTTGTGTAATATGTGCTGCAATTGCTTCAATACAGCCTAACATCTCTTATAAATTATTTCACTATAAAAGCATCCTTGTGAAAGGGTTTATCTATTATAATGCTTTACTCCATGGTTATATCTTCATCCAGTATTAGTTTAGATGAACTTACTTATGACCACATTTTGATTTTGAGGATACTTATACCAAGCTTAAAATGATTGCTTTCTGTTCTCGCTTCAAGCATTGTAAATGGTGCCTAATCAATTAAGTTGTTTGTTTGTCCAAAAAGATATTTAACTCAAAAAGTCTGTGTGCTTTTTGGTTCTTAGAATCTCGTCTTATGAGAAATATTCACACATTTCTGTCCAATGCCTCATTTGTTTACATTCTGATTAAATTTCTTGTTTTTTTTGGGTGCATTTTCAGAAGCATATGCACGGGAACAAGTGCTACTGATTCAGAAAATTGTCTCTGAACATAATGGCTCTAATTTTGTTTTTGTGGAGGATCCTGATGCTAAAGAGGAGCTGTGGAAGGTACATTCATTTTATTTCTCCACGACTACCTTTTCATCCTGTTTGGTTAGGAAAGCAAGAGTATTTTAACTCTTGCTACCCAAACATACAAAGGTTTGGGGTGTAATAATAACTTAGGCATTATCCTCACACCACCTAAATACAATCCATAAACCACCCATTTTGAGAGTATTAATGCTTGAAGAATGTGGAATTATTAGTTCTTCCTCAAACCTATTGCAATATCCCTAACTCTTACTTACTACCTCACTATCGGAACAAGCAACAAATATCCAACTGCTTACTCTTTCTCACTCACTCTCTCTCTCTCTCTCCCTCCCTCCCTCCCTCCCTCCCTCCCTAAAGGCTCATAACATCCACAACTTTTCTATGACCTATCCAAAACACAATATCGTCCCTATTTTGATTGATATTTTACCATTTTGGGCCTCGTTTTTCTTGTTTGTTATGTTTTTCTTGCTACAACTGGAAATAAAGAACATATTTTTATTCTGGTTCAATAATCGAAGTTTAAACAACTTAGGTTAATTTCTATATGCCTTTTATTGGATCATGCTACCTCACAGTTGACGTGATCAATATCTTTATCAGAGTTAGTTCCATGTATATGAGATAGTGTAATAGAAAATGTTGCAATATGAAGCTTCGATAGTTGTCATTGTTGATTCCCAAAGTTTGAAACTACATTTATTTATGCAATAGGTGTAGCTTTAGATCTTGCATACTTTAGGAAGCAAGAACCTTCAGATGGCACAGCTATCATGAAGCAGTCATAATACTGTAGAAGTTTTAGGATTTAATACTCTTTCAGCTTGAACCGGGGTACATTATTGTATTGGTGATTACTTCCCTGAATTAGTTCAGCAACAGGTTGTACAATTTATCTAAAAACATTCTTTGTTGTGGATCTGCTGGAGTATTTGGATCTATGATTTTTAAGTTGTTTGTCAACGTCTTCTATGATCTTTCATTTACTAAAAACTAGCTAAGGGCATATATGAATCCCCGAATACTGATGACTTGGGTCACATTTGTATTTACAGATACGAAAAGGAGCACTATGGGCTTGTTTGGCAATGGCACCTAATTATGAAGCAATGATAACAGTTAGTTCGTTAATGTTTTCTGGTTATTCATTTTATTTTAGGTATTTTTTAGAGTTGGAATGCAAGGCAAAATCGTATAACTTCCGTAGAGAATTGGTTTTGTATTTTGTTGAAGTGTCAGTCAGAAGGCTCAATATGGAATGAATTGGAAAAGTTCAAAAATGTGCAGATGATGTATGTATCATGTTGGATTGAGAAGTGGCATAATAGATACAAAAAGTAACCTAAATAGCTGGAGTAGGGACCAAGAGTTGTTACATGGAGATTATGGTGTTCGTTAGGCCAGTGAACTCTCTGATACTCTGATATTGGCTGTTCTCAGACTAGTGTACCTTGTTTTCAGGATGTTTGTGTTCCCTTGTCGCGTCTAGCAGAATGCATATCAAAGTCTAAAGAATTGCTTGATGCTTCACCAATGCTGTGGTATGTTTCTTGTTTCTTTTTGCTTTTTTCTTAAAAATGTATGACATTAGTTTATTTAAGATGTTTTTTATTTTATAAAAAAACAGTCATGATGAATTTGGATGATGTATTCTATAATACTTGTTAGTTTTATGAATTTGCTGGTTATGAGATAATGTGTTATTGGAAGCACTGATTTTTATTTTTTTGTTCCCCAGTGCGGTAATCTCTCATGCTGGTGATGGGAACTTCCACACAATTATTTTATTTGATCCAAATAACGAAGATCACCAGTGTGAAGCAGAGAGATTAAACCATTTAATGGTTAAAATTGCCTTATCAATGGAAGGTACTTTTCTTATCTTGTTATGATTACAGTGATAAGAACATAAAGTATTAGGAATATGGTCTCGTTGTTATCAGTTAGCTAAAATTTTCAGTTATTTATGTGAAAAAGACGTGTCATTCATGTTCATCTTTTGTTTGTTTGGAGATGGTTTATCAAAAGCAGAAAGGATCTCTGACACATCTGATGATTGTATACCATGTATTCTACTTGGGTTTGATTATTAAGGGTTGTACGGTAGTTGAAACACTAACCTAGTTCACATTCACTTTCTGACATCGAAATCTTTGCATGTATGCAAAATGCAGCTGGAGATCTACTTCTCTCTCTAAGCTTAAACCTATACTTCCTAAGTTAAATTTATCTACTTGGAAATCGCTGTATAGGAAGCTTTTGCTTACTTTTGACTATTTTCTTTTATCAATAATCAGGAACATGTACAGGAGAGCATGGTGTTGGTACTGGGAAAATGAAGGTATGTATTCTTTGCTGTGGTCGTGTTGCCTTTCACATGTTGGAGTTTTATACGAAACTTTATGGGATGCTTGATGGACCACTTCGTTTCTCTATCGTTTCTAGTGTCTATTATGCATTACATGTGAATACTCTGCCCTGTTTTGTGGATCATAATGGATTTCTTAAAACTCAAAGTAAAGCAGATGATGTGGGAGAACTATTGACTTTCTAAGTCAGACTTCTCTGATAATTGTTTAAAGCATACCATATCTTTTTCTTCCCTCTCTCCCTCTATTATTTATTTTTTATTTAATTTTTTG